TGGCGAGGCAAGACGAGCACGAGCGCTAGCTTTGTGCGAGGCGAGCGGGTGCGTCCAGTCTGTGCGAGCAGGTGCGTCCCTGCAAGCACAAGCACGATGGAGCGCCAAATCAGGCAATCACGGGCAAGTAGAGCGCGATACAGATCCTGGTTGATTTCGGGTTGACCTGAACCCAACCCAAAATTAAAACAAGTCAAAATACAAATCTCGAACCTGATCTATTTTCCAAATGTGTTGACCCGGACTTGTAATTTTCGAGTCGGTTTTTGGTCAGGCTTTAGGGTTGGGTCAAATATCGAAACTATTAATTTAGTCTATTGACTCTTTAAATATGGATCAAATTAAACTTCCAGTGGAATTATTTAAGTCTCTATTTAAGAAGTTAAGGAACTTAAATGGAATTTTTATATAATTGGGCACCATTTAAGTCCTTTATAAATTTAACACATCATTATTTTTATAAAAATAATTTTATTGGTTATATATGAATTTGTAAATAATTTATTATTTTGTTATATATTTTATTATACTATATTCATTATTTTTGAATTTATTTGAGAAAATGAATATATAATTTATCATACATATTATTTAAATGCCACATGTCAAAATCATAAGCCCATGCTACATACCATGTGAAAATATATGAAGGCTTGACTAGTTCTTGTGAAACCCCTTAATAAAATAAAATTAAACTTTTAAACTTTGATGCGCCTTTTGATGTTACGATCGAACTTTTAATAGAAACTGCACAGTTAAGCATGCTCGTATGGGTGAACTCCTAAGTTGTATGGCCTTTAGAGAAGGTGTACTAATGAAATAAAACTGTGAGACTATTATTTCAATGCTGACAATATCTCGATGATTGAGAGTTTGGACTGTTACAACAGTTATGTGTTGTTAATTCATCTTACTTCAAATGCAAATTTTAATCTTTCATCGTCAAAATTGGTAATAGTTCTATCTGTTTTGACTTGAATTTATATGAGATGAGGAGTGTGTGTGACACCTTCAAAATTGGTAATAGTCTATCTGTTTTGGCTTGAATTGATTTGACATAATTCACTGAATTTTTGCATTTAAAACTCTTCTGCATATGTCCAAATATATTTTGTGTGTATGTAAGAGTCTACATGTGTTTTGAAGCGTGCCTTGAAAGTCTATTTGCATGTTATAGAAATCTAAAATTTCCCCCCTAGAGCACTGTGGAGCTAGGGTTGGCACTGTTGTGACATTGAGCTCTATAGAATTTTGTAAATTAATTCATGTTGCGGCGTTGGTGGTAGCGATGTGGACTCTCAGAGTGAGCACTGCGGTACTCGCTCAATTGGGCGCCGCGGTACTAGAACAATTTTTTATATTAAAAATATTATTTTCCACTATTTGATTCATTCCATTTCCCTCAAGGATGTCATCTAGAGAGGGAGAGAGAGAGAGGAGTCCTAAAAGAGAGAAAGTCCATTTTAGGCCGCTTTGGGTCATTGCATGTGTCATCCCATTTCTGAAAATTATCTGGCTCAATGTAGATTGTATTTTGTCTATCTCAGTTTTAAAAATAACAAAATTTTACAAACTAAACGATTTTGTTAGCGACAAACAAGGATAAATTGCTATATGCAATGCTTTCAACCCTAAGTTTCTGTATGTTGTAGATACAACAATTCTGAACATTTAAACATCTTTCTCAAAAACTTTCACGTGACAAAATAAAAAAATGTGGGGTTTTTGGAAAATTAGAAAATTATTATAGCTTTCAAAGTTAATGTTGTAGTATGATTAAAGCTTCAAAACAATGTTCTGAATAATTTCTGGTAAATTGATTATATTTTAAGACAGCACATTTCTACTCAGTAGTACATTCTACTGCGCACCGTTAAAGCATTATGTTAAATTCTAAAATGAGTCGATTTTAAGTTCTTTTTATTACAATATAATGAATTATATGATTATTTGATTTAAATGTGTGATTTTGAATAGATATGTTGTCGGTGGAGGAAGTTCAGATCTAGTGTTAAATGCATATTCTGGTATCGATGGCACATTATGGTATTATATGCACACTCTATTTATTGAGAGTAGTAAGAGTCAGAATTATCTGAATTCTATATGATTATATATATATGGGTCAAAATTCTCTAAATTATGTATGATATACAATACTTGTTTATTTATTTTATCAACATTGTTTAGAGGTGTCAATTATTGATCTGACCCAAAATTGACTCAGAAAATTTGGGATTAGGTCGACTCGTTTAAAAAAAGGGTTTGGTTCGGCTTTTATTTTCCGATCAGTTTGAAAAATTAGATCAAGTTCTGCTCAACTTGATAGCTTGAAATTGACCCAAGTCCCATTTCCAATTGCAAACTCACCCTGCGTTGCAAGTCCAGTTGCGCTCTCCACCGCAAATCCTCTTGTCCCGCACGCATAGGCACAATGCACACTGCACAGAGTGCAGCTGCATGCATAGACGCAACCCTCTCCGGCCTCGCGTGGTCCTGCCCGGCCTCCCTCAGTCTCCCATGGCCACACCCGAGCACTCGACACTCACCCCTGCACAACCACATCCCTCGCCTACTCGCACATGCACACTCACGCGTTCCCGGCAGCCGCCCTCGTCCTCGACGCTCACAGCACGTGTGTTTCTTACAACACTTGATCTTGCACCGTTTGCAAATCGGGCGAGTCGGGTTAACCCGACAACCATACATGTTAGGTCTGTGTTTAAATATCTGACTTGTTTGTAAATTTGTGTCAAGTTCGGGTTCGCAGACATGTATCGAAGTCAATTTCGGGTACCACCCAAACTCAACCCGAATACCTATTTTGACACCATAACACTATTATTTTAATTTCTTATGGCTACAATTACTATTCTTTCCATCATAGTAACCAAGTGATTACTATCATAAGGCTTATATTTTCATCACAAATTCCCGAATGTAATCAAGCGTGGAAAAAAAACATAAAAAGCAAATGCCTAAATTATTAGGTCCTCCGACCGGACGTAGAGGAACGTCCGGTCGGCACTAAAATCCAGTATAAAAACTCGGTATTGGCTCGGTATTGCTAGGTATTATTTGGTAATAACGAGGAATATCACTCTGTGAAGACCAATACTGAGTTATACCGAGCTATACCAAGCAATACCGAGTTATACAAAAAATACCGAGTTTTTTAGGAAAAACTCGGTATTTTTTGTATAACTTGGTATTGCTCGATATAGCTCGGTATAACTTGTTATTGAGTCTTCACATGATGATATTCTTCGTTATTGTTTGGTATTGCTTGATATTTGCTCGGTATTTCTCATTTTTTGATGTGATTTTAGCTCCGATAGGACGTAGCTCTATGTCCGGTCGGAGGACCTAATAATTGTTCCTCCTTGAGGGCTGTGAAAGCTGTTGTTGGATCAACACTTGTCTTGTAATATTATTGCATTCAATGTCTAATAATCCACACAAAAATTCCAATTTCATCCCTCTTCCTGATGAGAATTATCAGGATAGAGAATAAACATTGGCTTTCATGATAAATATCATTGGGATACATTTTTCCTGTAATTTTATAATGGCATATTTGAAAATGTGGTTACTTGTAAGGGCAGATAGATATTCATCAGGCGCATATCTGTTTCCAACAAAATGTGATAATCGACCCCCTTATGTGAAGGTAAATGAGTAAAAGTGAAAAAAAGGTTTAAAATTCTATTAATTAAAATGTATTTATGATGGTAAAGAGGGATGCAAAGACAATTTGGAAGCAAATTTTGTAGAGATGGTAGCATGTTCATAGATGGCTCTAAAGAGCTTAGCTAAAAGAAACAATAAATCGAGCTATGTTATAAGAGTGCTTGGAGCTCATGGAGGGGCAAAGCAAAGGTTCACACTATAGGAGTATATAATTATTATTTAAAGAGAAACACATCATAATTTTTTTAATAATAATAATGTAATGTTGGTCCCAAGGTTTGTAACAAATTCATTTCCAACATATGAAATAGCTCAATAGGAACAAGCACAACAAACAACCATTTAGCAATCGAATCTTTACTGCAATTGTGTGAATTGCCATTATCAATAAATACACGAGTTGAACATGAAACAATTAAGCTTGTCCAACAGACTAACATAGAAATCAATTGTCTCGCCACAACGTTGAGATTGATCGTAAAAAGTGATTTTATGAAAGGCTTAGATAAGTTATCTATCTCGTTATCAAGATTGATAGTTCCCATTAAGAGATATAACGTATTTTGGCATTTATGATTGGGGCCAAAATTGTCATTGTAATTAAAACATAAACTTTTTTTCATGGCCTAGTTGAGTTTCAATTGGACATAATTTGCATATTGATATATTTTGAATTGAAGTGAGGTTTGAGATACTGAGGTTCACACTGATACCCGTTTCATTGATAACAAAGCAAGTGAAGGAGAGGATACAAAAAATTTATTGAGAAATAAGAACTTTTTAAACATGCAAGATTATTGTGTGACTAAGATCCATAGTGATCCCTGCACATACCTTAAATTCTGATTTCACATATTCGAACCAATTTTATGGCATCTAGCAACATATAATACTTTACAATTAATAATTCAATAGATAATTTTAATTTTAATCTTGAAAAAAATTACAACAAATTCAAAGAAACTAGACATACCACATCAACCAATTTCTCAAATGAAGCTTGATAACTTAAAAAGATTGTCTCGAAGATCTTCAGATTTGAAAACTCTAAAACATTTTTTAAGTTCTCCAAAAATACCTTAAACTTTTTAGAATCAAATATGTCCATTTAAGCTTCATTTGATATGACTTTCTTACTGATTTTTTAAACAGGTTTTCAATACAAATTCTTTTGAACTGAAAATATTTGTATTAAAAATCTGCTTTATAAAGCAGCAAGAAAATTGTTAAAAAAACCTTAATATATTATATATGATATATGAAAAATAATATAAATAAATTTCTAAAGTCTAGATAATGATTGGAGCAACTAAAATTGGCATGAAAATGCTTTCTTTTTTCAAAGTGCCAATTTTCTTTTCAAGCGGTCCAAAATAGTCTTTTATTTGGCGCCAGATGATAGTGAGAGGAAATTATACAAAAATTTTCACGAGCTCTGCGCCGAAGCGGTGATCACAGATCGGCAAAGCGGCGAGCTCCATCCGTTTCCTCCTATCTCTTTCCTTTTATCTTAATTTCTCGGGCTATGGGAGACGAGATCCCTTCGTGCCCTAGCCCTATCTATCTTCTACCACCGGCACCACCGCCGACGCCATCTCCAACCCCGGATCCCCTCGAAAGCACCACCAGGAATGGCGGATTCACGCCCAACCGGCGTCCTCCATTACGGTTCACGACAGAGTTTGATAGCGAAGGCCCTCTGTTCTTGCACAAGGTCTCTTGCAAGTTCTTCGACAGCCTCGCCAAGCTTAAATTTTCCTTTCAGAACAACACCAAAGGCGAGATCTTTTGCCCGCAGCTGGGATTTATAACCAAGAATCTCTCAGTTCTCTACGACTTTGAATCTCGAAACGCTCTTCTGAGGGGGTCTCTGGATTTGGGCCAAAACTTGCAATTACGGACCACCTATGATGTGCAGGTTGGGCACTAGTCACTTAATTTCCACCATTTTATTCGAAATGAGTCTTTTTTGGTCATTCTTGTTCCTGCTTTATCGTTTCTTAATTTTCTATCATAGTCAGCTTGAGCTTGTTTATTCCTCCTCATTTTGTTTTTCCGTTTATGAAAGAGTAAGACGGTGAAGTATACCTTTGCATGTAAGTTGTGGAGAAGATTTGCATATGGAATACGCAAACCTTGATCTGTTGAAAAAGATGAGTAATTGTGAGTTTGGGGTGTAGAGGGAGGGAGGGATATAGAGAATTGTCAATTGTTGGGTGATGGAAATCAGACTGGTAGAGTAAGGATCAATATCCGAATATTTTAGCATCTTTGTATTACACGCGTGAGATTAAGGCTTCGTTTGGACGGCTTTCTTACTGCTTAAAACAACTTTCTAGTAAAAAAAATTTAATTTTTGTACTAAAAAGATGATTTAAAAAACATTAAGAAAGCTGTCCCTAACGAAGCGTAAATAAACTTAAAAAAACTGAGGCAACAAATCTCTAACTACATAATCCAAAACGCCCATAAGGGGTAGTGCCATGAAATCTTAATTACACACGTGAGCAATCGAAATAAACTGATGGATCTTAGTTTGTAATTTTCGGAATCCAAGAAAAATAGTCCCAAAACGGTGGAAAAATGTGAAATTTCTTGAATGAAAACACTCACAAACACTTCAATAACTTGAATATCAAAAGACTTACAAGTTTCATGGTTACAATGCTCTCACTTCGAGAAGAGAAGCTTTCTCCCAAGCCCTAGATTAGAAAGAAAGCTAAAACAGCCACCAAACAAGATCCCCCCAAAAAGCCACCCTAACTCTCTTTTAACTCTAACATAAACCCCTCAAAATACCCTAATTACCCCTAGGGCAAACACCTCATTTTTCCTCTTCAATTTGGTGGCCCCCTTGGGCCCACCCGACTCCTGGTTCCCCTTCGACAGTCCGCCCATGCAGGCAGGTTCTCCGCCTGCAGTAAGTGAGAACCGGCCCTTTTTTGGGCCGGTGCTGCTATGTACCGGACCGGTCCATCATCACTTCCCGCCCAAAGATTAACCTTGTCCTCAAAGTTGAAAGCAGAAAACTGAGCTTGTATGATCTCATAGGTCTCCCAAGTTGCATCATGTGTCGGTAGATCTTTCCACTCAATCAAAACTTCCTTCCCTCCTTCCTCAGTGTGTCTAACCCCTTTCAATGCAGAAGGCTCTAATAGATTTGTACCATCTTCAGACAATGTTGGCGGTAAAGTATCGACTGGTACAAAATCTCCCTTGAACTTCTTCAACTGTGACACATGAAAGACTGAATGAATCGTAGTAGTGGGTGGTAACTTCAGGCGATATGCTACATTCCCAATCTTCTGCTCTACCTCATAGGGGCCATAATACCTTGGGGCCAACTTAACACTTAGCCTCCTTGCTAAAGTATTCTGCCTGTAGGGCCTCAATTTCAAGTAAACAAATTCCCCAATCTCAAATTGAACATCCTTCCTATGATGATCTGCTGCCTGCTTCATGATGTTCTGGGCTCGTAACAAGTGGTTCTTCAGCTCCCCCAAGATCTCATCCCTTTCGGACAATTGTTGCTCCACTAAGGACACTGATGTAGAATGAGGCCTGTACTGTATCAGGGTTGGAGGATCCCTCCCATAAAGCACCTTGAAAGGTGTGACCTGCGCCGCCTTGTGAAATGAAGTGCTATACCAATATGCAGCCCAAGGTAGCCACCTTATCCAATGCTTGGGCTTCTCCCCTGCAAAACATCTAAGGTAAGTCTCAACACTTCTATTGACTACCTCAGATTGCCCATCTGTCTGTGGGTGGCAGGATGAACTGCGCTTCAAATCCTAAACTTTTATTGAATTTAGGGGCCATTAGGGGTTACTTATTATTATTTTTTTTAATTTTATTTTGTTTATGCTTTAATATGAAATATAAGCATATTTGTTATCTTACATATGGTTTTTTTGTATGTATTGAATATCACATAAGTCAATATGTTTGTTGGTTTTGATGAGGGTTTTGGCACTGTGGCATGGGGTTGGTTGGGTGCGGTGCCAGGTTGAACGATATAACGTGCAAGGCTAGCTGGTATGGTGCGTCTGGTCGGATGGTTGGAAGTTCTTGTTTTGAAACAATTTGAACACCTAAAAATTATTATCGGTGTTTTTAAAAATCATTTGATTTATTTTGAAAACAATGTGGATGTTACATAGTGGAAAGTTCAAATTAAGTAAAGTTTAGCATAAGAGTAAGGCTTTGTTTGGATGGCTTTCTGAAGCAGCTTTTTAGTAAAAAATTAAATTTTGTAATAAAAAGCTGTTTAAGAGGCAATAAGAAAGCCGTCCGAAATGAAGATTAAATCTTATAGTGGCCAATAATAGATGACAGCATAAGTTTTAACTTGAAGACTTGTAATTGTTAGATTTGTGAAATTGTTGGAAAAAGTTTGTATTTGAGAACAATGAGATCATGAGAATTAAAAAAATAATCTATCAGAAACATGCCAGGAAAACAATAGAAGGGAGTTTATTTGGTTTGATGTGATCCAACTATGATCCTATAAAGAGACAGATGTCCACTAGTTTAGAGGGAAAAACAAGGTATAAATATTTGCCCATGAATATTTTTCTTACTTTTCTCTCTCTAGTATTCTTCCCTTCTCTCTCTTATTCCCCTTTCAAGCCTAAGAATGATTTCTCAACTGGGTATGCTCATTGAAGATAGAGTAAACCCTGTTACCTCATTTATCGAATCACCTTGCTGGTCACTGGTGCCAATGACTATTTATGACTTCCTCTTGAGAAGACCTCCAGCTTCCAATAGTCATCTCTAGCCTATTAACAAAGCAAGTGAAGGAGAGGATACAAAAAATTTATTGAGAAATAAGAACTTTTTAAACATGCAAGATTATTGTGTGACTAAGATCCATAGTGATCCCTGCACATACCTTAAATTCTGATTTCACATATTCGAACCAATTTTATGGCATCTAGCAACATATAATACTTTACAATTAATAATTCAATAGATAATTTTAATTTTAATCTTGAAAAAAATTACAACAAATTCAAAGAAACTAGACATACCACATCAACCAATTTCTCAAATGAAGCTTGATAACTTAAAAAGATTGTCTCGAAGATCTTCAGATTTGAAAACTCTAAAACATTTTTTAAGTTCTCCAAAAATACCTTAAACTTTTTAGAATCAAATATGTCCATTTAAGCTTCATTTGATATGACTTTCTTACTGATTTTTTAAACAGGTTTTCAATACAAATTCTTTTGAACTGAAAATATTTGTATTAAAAATCTGCTTTATAAAGCAGCAAGAAAATTGTTAAAAAAACCTTAATATATTATATATGATATATGAAAAATAATATAAATAAATTTCTAAAGTCTAGATAATGATTGGAGCAACTAAAATTGGCATGAAAATGCTTTCTTTTTTCAAAGTGCCAATTTTCTTTTCAAGCGGTCCAAAATAGTCTTTTATTTGGCGCCAGATGATAGTGAGAGGAAATTATACAAAAATTTTCACGAGCTCTGCGCCGAAGCGGTGATCACAGATCGGCAAAGCGGCGAGCTCCATCCGTTTCCTCCTATCTCTTTCCTTTTATCTTAATTTCTCGGGCTATGGGAGACGAGATCCCTTCGTGCCCTAGCCCTATCTATCTTCTACCACCGGCACCACCGCCGACGCCATCTCCAACCCCGGATCCCCTCGAAAGCACCACCAGGAATGGCGGATTCACGCCCAACCGGCGTCCTCCCTTACGGTTCACGACAGAGTTTGATAGCGAAGGCCCTCTGTTCTTGCACAAGGTCTCTTGCAAGTTCTTCGACAGTCTGGCCAAGCTTAAATTTTCCTTTCAGAACAACACCAAAGGCGAGATCTTTTGCCCGCAGCTGGGATTTATAACCAAGAATCTCTCAGTTCTCTACGACTTTGAATCTCGAAACGCTCTTCTGAGGGGGTCTCTGGATTTGGGCCAAAACTTGCAATTACGGACCACCTATGATGTGCAGGTTGGGCACTAGTCACTTAATTTCCACCATTTTATTCGAAATGAGTATTCTTTGGTCATTCTTGTTCCTGCTTTATCGTTTCTTAATTTTCTATCATAGTCAGCTTGAGCTTGTTTATTCCTCCTCATTTTTTTTTACCGTTTATGAAAGAGTAAGACGGTGAAGTGTACCTTTGCATGTAAGTTGTGGAGAAGATATGCATATGCAATATGGAAACCTTGATCTGTTGAAAAATATGAGTAATTTGTGAGGTTGGGGTGTAGAGGGAGGGGTGAGGGATAGAGAGAATTGTCAATTTTTGGGTGATGGAAATCAATCTGATAGAGTAAGATCAATATCTGAATATTTTAGCATCTTTGTATTGCACTCATGCTTGTTTAAGGCTTCGTTTGGGACGCCTTTCTTACTGCTTCTTAAAATAGCTTTCTAGTAAAAAAAATAATTTTTTATTAAAAAGATGCTTTAAGAAGTAGTAAGAAAGCCGTCCCAAACCAAGGCTAAATAAACTTAAAAAAGCTTGGGCAACAAATCTCAAAATACATAATCCAAAACGCCCATAAGGGGAAGTGCCATGAAACCTCAATTACACACGCGAGCAATCAAAATAAACTAAAAAGTGTGGATAGAAAATTTTTATGTTGAAAACTCAAGAAAGGCAAAATCATGAAACTTTGTCTAGTTGAACATTTTCCATTTGTATGATAGGGTTACAAGGCACTGAGCTTCCTCATAACTAGAGAAAATATCAATACAAGGATCTTAGCAATTGATAAGATTCCACTATACAATACTTTGGAATCGTCGGTCAAAGTTTTGCTTAACAACATTAGTTCATTATGGTGGTTCCGGACCTTCCGGTTGAATTGACCAAGGATTTTAACTATCAACAGGGATGGTTGGTTAGAACCTTGTTCAAAAATCATATCCATCATGTAAGAGATCGAACTGAATCCAGCCAAGGATCAGTTGACCCCTTTGGAAATGCAACACCTACAAATCTGCACTTAGTTTTCTGAATCAGGCTTGTTTGGGACTGATCTAACTTTTTCTAGATCAAGGCCATGAGCTTTCCTAGGGCAGGGGAATCCAATAAGGGACCATCAAAATTGTAATGAGAGGTTTGGACAAGTTGAAAAATAACTTTTATTGATAAGCAATTTTATTTGCGTACTGAATAAGCAATAAAAAGAAATCTTTAAAAAGAGAAATCCTTTGAATAGTAAAAGGAAATCCTATGAAATTAAAAAAAAAAAAAAAGACTATTGAAAGCACTTGCGGAGGTTCTTCGTATTCCAAGTTTGCTGGAGAACTTTATTATCAAAATTCTTAAGCTTATAAGTCCTAAACTTGATAAAGATGGCTATGACATAAGTTCCTTTCCATAGATGAGAAAGTTTGTTACAGAGTGGATTTTTATCGTAGCTTCAACACTTAAGAGACCAGGTCTTCCATAATTATAGGTTGCAACTTGATACTACTGTTGTAGTTTCAAGCAATCCTTTGATGGCTAGAGTTAATATGAGTAGGGTCGCTTCATGAGTCCTGGGGAGAAGATCCAAAAATCTAATGCAAATTGTCATCATTATGTGCATCATCAAAATTTTGGACTTCGGTTTTGGATACACTGATGTTAGTTTGAAACTTTGAATGATTGCTTCTGTGCTGTAGAACACATTGAAAGGTGTCTGACAAATTGGAGTTGCAATGTAGCAGGGTAAAGCTTCAAGGACATGAGGAAGCTCATTGATCCATTAACCTGCCCCAACTCTCATCCTAGCGCATCTTGAGGCCTTCAAGATTGCATGGTTCATCATTTTAGCATGCCCATTTGTTTGTGGTTGGTTCATGAATGTGTGAAGCAATTTGATTTGCAACTCATAACAAAACTTGGTGAAGCTCTTCCTTACGAACTACATGTCATGATTGGTGATAATGGTGGCCTTTGTTAAATTATTTGGTTTTGGCCTTTGTTATTTTTTACAGTGGTTCTACTATGACCCCATTTGGTGAGTTAGTCAACTGTGAGGATTGTGAACATGCTTTTTCCAAAGGCAATGAGGAAAGACCCATGATGCCAATCCCTCTCTGAGTATATGTCCAAGGACATTATCAAGTTGAGAGATACATTGGTAGGACATGGGCAAATCGGAGTGCAACTTATAGCTTTAGTGTTTTTTGTACAAACTAATGCATCTTGCTTTATGATGGGCCAATAGAATCCTTGGCTCAGAATTTCAAGGTGAAGCTCTACTATCTACTATTAATATGCTTAATGTAAATCCTAGAATGGAGTTCAACTTAGATGGTGGAAGGCACTTGAGGTAAGGATTGATTAAGGCCCTCTTGAAAAGCTTGCAATTGATGAAAATGAAACTTGTTGTCTACCAACAAAGGAGAAAAATGAAGATTGGTTGTCTGACAATATGATGTAGAACGGCGGCAAAAATCTAAAACAATGGACTTCAGAAATCTGAAATTAGCTTCAGGTTTTTTTATTCAAAACCTGAGAGAAAATTCAAGTTTCAGAGATTAGGAGAAAAGGTGTTCATCGGACAGCAGTTGGGAGGCTGCAGGAATCTGTGGACAGCACACAGGATACAGCAGGAATTGCTGGGCAGCAATTTGCTTTAGTAAAAACAGCAACTGGGAAGCTTCAGGTTGCTGTTGAAATCACTGGACAGCGCTGCCGAACTTCTGGCCAGCAGGTATTGCTTCTGACGAACTATGGACAGCAGGTAGACGGTCTTCCTGGACAGTTTTCCTGGCTGATTTTGGCAATTCTGGATGGGGGACAGCAATAAGGGATCTTCCCACCAGTCGGGCAGCAAGTGGCAATGCAAAATAGGAAAAAAGAAACTCGTGACAGCCTTTGAGAACTGTCTAAACAGCAGTAGAAATAAGTTCAGGTGCTAGGATTTGATGTGGACGGCAGATAGAGAGAAATTGAGAGGGTGGGCCAATGACATGAGGGGAAAAAGAGAGGGATTAGGTGAGGGTTTAATGGCTCGCCTAATTAACAGCTCTCAATTAGGATTGATTGGATTAAATCACTCTGAATTTGAATTTGAATTTGAATTAAATAAAATTCAGGGAGTGATTAAGGAGTCATTAATGGCAAAGAATAATGGGGAGGAGTGAGGGGTTTGATTTCAAATAAGTGGGCCCCAATTACTTAAGTGAATTAATTCTTAAATCTGAAATTAAATTTCAGATTTAAAGCTGTGATTAATTTCTTAATTAAAGGGAGGAAATTGAGGGGGCACTTAACTCCTCATTCAAATTTGAATTTTGAATTGGAGAGTTAAAACCTTCCAATTGTGGATCAAACCCAATTAGGAAAAATTTCAAATTTGAAATCCAAAATTTGTCATGGGTTTATAATTTCAATTGAGCACTTTTCAAAAATAGATGCGCTAAATTAGGAAAGAAATTTGAATTTCAAATTTTGAACAATTTGAATTTCAAATTAATTCCTAATATCATGCACTCCTAATTAGGAAAACCAAGGAGAGAGGGGAAAGGATGAAGCCGGCGGCTAACGAGCCATGGCCGGCGGTTTGTGGTGGATCTTCAGGTGAGGTGGCCGGCGGCTTTTGGTGGAAATGGGGACGACGATGGTGGACGGAGGTAGAGGATGACGCAAAAAGAATAAACCAAGGAAAAACAAAGATAGAAACGAAAGATAGAAAATAAAAACCGCGAGCCTCAGACTCTTCCGAAGACTGACGGATGATCCGTTGCCCTTCTCCAAGGGACTTCAAATCACGAGCCCGGACCCATCCTGCAGCTGGTGACAACTCCGATTCCTTCCCATAGGAATCTCACTAACGCTCTCTCACAAGAAGAACACAAGTGTGGAAAACACAAAATTTTCATATTCATTAACCATCCATTACAATAGCTTAAGGCCCTTATTTATAGGCCATAACATGGGAAAATAGAAAATTACAAAAATGCCCCTTGGGCCACAACACTCAAATAAATTAACCTAGGGGTAAAATAGAAAATAACATAAAATAGAAACTAAAATGCAGAAAATAATTCATAAATGACAACTTAAATTAGAGCCGTCGATTTACGACGCCTCCTGTGATAGATGCGCCAGATCTTCATGCCGATGTCCGCATCACAATACCTCATCACAAAGGAAGGAGATGGGAACACCATCCAAGAGGGTAGATAACCAAGTGTATGTATAATATTTGCGAAAGCTCAATCTTAGATATTAGTGGAGGAGAAACCATGTAAAATTTGAGTTTCCTAATTACAAACTGATATTCATTGGTCTGTTGGAATCCAATGTGATGAGAACCTTTGACTATCTTTAAGAAATATAAGTACTTATATCCTAATTTAGCAAGGAAGGCAGAGAGAATAGCTATATGTCCATTCAAACATTGCATCCTTTTGATGTTGCATCTAGGGCCATATATTTTATTTCTATGATTTTCACATGTTTAATCTTGATTCCTCAGTGAGTGACCATGAACCTGAGAAATTTATTATATATCACTGTGAAAGCGTGCTTGTTGATATTCATTCTCATATGATAATTGCAAAAGAGTTGAAAACATTATTCCAAGTTACGAAATGTTGAGGCAAGACAAATATATCATCGACATAGACTTTTATGGATCATTTAATAAGGTCCTCAAAGACCATGTTTATTAGATGTTGATATGTTACACCAATATTTTTGATCCTAAAGGTAACAAATTTGTAGCAATATAATCCTTTGTTGGTGCAGAAGGTTGTGACCTCCTCATAAGCTGGATTCATTCAAAGTTGATTATATTTGGATTTGACATTGATGAAGCTAATCATATGGTTCCCAATGGCCGCGTCAACAAGTTGGTTGATCTAAGATTGACAGAAATTTTATTTTGGATAAAACATTAGTAAGAGTTATGAATTTCACACACATTATTTGTCATTGGGATTCTTAACCGTGATAAAGTAGCATGCCCAGTAGGGTAATAAACTTTTTTTTTTTGATAAAATTGGCTTTCAAAGGCTTTTTGACCTGCTTGATGGCCTAAAGTAGCTCAAGGCAACACTACATTTATTTTGTGCTATTGAATTGAAGGTAGGGCCTCCATTGAGAGAGTGTGATATTATGTCTTGATTGACTTTGTGCATATCAACAGAATTCTGGACAAAGATGCCTTAATGAGCTTTGGGAAAGTTGACCTAAGTTTGTTGTTCTTAAAAGGTGATGAACTATCTAATTTGAAAAGTTTGTGTTGAATCCTCTTGAAGTGTGAGAACTTGTTGAGGAATTTAATGAAGGGTGATGATACAATAACGGTGCCTTGGGCCATTATAGAGTGTTTTTTGAAGGCATAAAGAGGCCCAACAGTAGTTGGAGTTTATCCTGGTGATTCTATGTTGAGAAGGTGAAATATAATAGGGCTCCAACATATCGATTACAATCCTCTTTATTTTAAAGCATGCTTCACCTATATCATTACATTCATTGCTAGTGGATCTTAATGTGGATATTATATTCCTTTAGGGGCTGTTTATTTTGTTGAAAGAGGAATGCGAAGTAAAAGTAAAATAAATATAGTGTATTGAAAATATTTTTAGGTTGTTTAGTTGAGTACATTTTAATTGCAAGAGGTTACTTTTTTTGTTTAGTTTTAAGTAAAATTAATTCAATGTAAAACCTGATGGTAGCAGCGGCAAGGGGAGCGACCGGCCGACCGATGATGGTGGAGGATGGTAATGGCCAATATTGGCGATGGGTGTTGCTTGTCGGTGGCGGTGAATGGGTAGCGGCCCATGGAGTGCAATTATGGGCGAATTCCAAATACATTAATATTTTACGCTGCTTTTGCTTTTTACGAAACATCAAAATTCTCAAAAGTCGTGTATTTTGTTTGCTTTACACTAAGATTACTTGCAACTAAATACCCCCTTAAGTTTAGATTTAGAGGAGGGTCCATTGATGATTTCTCAATTTTGCCCACCACAATTAAGGTCACCACAATTAATTACCTTATTGTTGCTGCTATTGGGGTTGCCCATCAAGCTAATTTGCTTGGCGCTGGCATTATGGACTTGAAGGAAGCAACCAAGATCTTATTGCCAAATGAGCCTCTTAATCTCCTCTTATTTATTACAAGCATTAGTAGTATGCTCGTTGCTTTGATGGAAGTCACAATATTGATTTTATGGCTACCATCATTCGATTTCAGTGGGTAGGGCAACTTAATGTTCTCATCATTTAGAATGGACATTAGGACATTGAAATGAGTGGTGTTGAGCTAAGTATGTTCCCATTCCTACTGTAGCTTCTACTGTTGTTGCCAATACCATTATGACGATTAGGAACATGCGAAGGGATATATTGATTTTTAGCTATTTTGTTTTCTTGTATTGGGAGTGTTGGCTTGGTCCTTATTACCTTTTTTAGTACTCCATGAGTGGCTCTTTCTTATTATGAGGAATTGTGGAGAGATGCTAGGAGTCCTTGATCCATTTTTATATGGATTTGTTATATGCTTTGAGATGTCCAACTCTTTTCGGGTGATTTGCATAGTAATGAGCATACATTGGGGTAATCAAAGGCCACTAGTGTGCTTCTTTTGGTGACATGAACCTGGTGGACCAATTGCTTGATCCCCTAGACCATCGTTGGAGACTTGCGATGAGGTCTCTGCCACCAACACACCTATTATCATGGCTGCACGTGTGAGAGAAGGCTGATGTGAGCTGGTTCAGCATTGAACTGATTGGTTTGGCTGATTCAAAGACTTTCAAGGTCCTATTCATGTGATTTCAGCATGGATGGACTAAAACATGATGAGCCAGATCGCGAGGTGGGTTTCCGTTTCACGTTCTTGCTGATTTAGGCTTCGTTTGAGACAACTTTTTCACAGCTTTTTAAAGTAGCTTTTTAATCCTAAAAATTTGCTTTAGGAAGAAAGCCGTCCCAAACGAAGCCTTAGTTTTCTATCCATTTGGTAAAGATGCAAAGAGAAAGTTGCCTTAAAGGAGACATTTTGTTAGCTTGAAAGAGTACGAGGTTTTTATTCTGGTTGCTTTAATTTTGTTACAGGAAATTATATTTATATGTGTATGTATTCTACTTTAACTTGAAAAAGTGGCGTGCTTATGACCTTTCCATTTTTTTTCTTGTGCTTTATTTTCTTTTTCGTGAGTATTTCAAAATCCTGACACTTTCATGTAATGTCATGACATATGCTTTGCTTATGCTTCATATTAAACCCTCCTTTATCAAAGGGCTGAGATTTTATGCTAAGGAAATAAGCTTTATATTTAGTTCTACGGAAAAAAAAAATGAAAATTTGCGTGTTTGAACTTTGAAGGTTTAAAGGAAAAATTTGATTTCCGCCAATAAGGTCAATGTTCCAGAAAAATGATTTCAGTAGCTATTCCAGCTTATAGCGAACTTCATCTTTGAGCTCATCTATTGTTCTTCCGCTCTTCTATTTTTGTCCTTGGTTCTAGCAGAATAAAGTAGACCTTTTGCTTGTGAATTTTGGTACTTTGTCTAATCTCATAGACCTTTTGGCTCTTCTTTTTTCCATGCTGAAACCCTCTGGTTCCATGTCGGATTTTGCGAAACAATTCCTGTCAAAGGCTTTGAATTCTGAATCCTTGTTAGTTATGAATAATTCTGAAATTGCTAATACTAACTAAACTTCTCAAGGTTGCTAAACTGCACAGCCACCAATTGCTTAAGTATTTAATGGCATATACAGTTGATTTGCGGCAAGGCTGCTTCTTCTGATGATTACTTTTATTGTTTAACATTGTTTTTTAAAATATTACTGAAGGAAGCTAACTTGAAATGCTGACTTTTCCTCTGCCTCCTGGTTGATTTGGTCTAGTTACTATATAACAAGTTCACTGTGCGCTTGCTCGTGCATGTTATTCATTTAATATAGACTTATTGGTTTGTTAACATAATTCAATCTCCCTCTCATTGATAGTGATAAAGTTCCTACCTCCACCATACAATAATTTTATGGTGGGTGGTAAAACCTGCCTTATGTAAGGTTCATACCTGCTTATCAACTTTTTGGTCAATCATTGGATTTTATGTTTCGTGTCATTAATTGTGTTCTACATTTTCAATTGTTCATGGAAGTCAGCAGGCTAAATTAAGAAATTCTTTGGAATTCTTCCTCTAAGACAGCTCTTGTTTCAGAGCGATCAGATTTGGATTCCAGAATATATCGGTATAAGGTGGTCAACAAAATATTCGTCTGTATCATTCAATTGCAAAAATAAGAAGTCTATTCTTACTAGCTTGTACTTCGGTAGTGTCTTCCAATTCAACTATCAGTATCACAAGGTGCGCTTACATTTTCTTTGTGCTTTCCTTTTGCTAATGTTGCAGACAGCGTATGCTATCAAACAAGGATTATGTTTAATGTGATACATAATTTTCTCATATGGTCATCATTATGGCTAGGGGTATCAATATTTGACCTGACCCAAAATCCGATCCGAAAAATTTTTGGTTTGGGTCGGCCCGTTTGTTAGACGGGATGGGTTCGGGTTAGAACTGTTTTGAAAATCGGATCGAGTTTGGGTTGACCTAGAAGCTGAAATCAGTCCGAAGTTGACCCGGGTCCAGATTTGGATAGCTTTTGCAGCTCCTCACGCGCTTAGTTCGCTTACACGATCGTTGTTTCACACAAATCACACCAACCGGCTCACACGACGTGTTGCTCGCCCTAGCTCGCTCGCAACCTTTGGTTCACGCGCCCGCTCGCCAGTCGTTGCTCGCTGCTCACACGCCCGTGCTAGCGCTGCGAAGTTTTGAAGGAATTCTGATTTTGTCTGCGATTTGTGTGCGGGGACGGGTTGGGTTGGATTTCTTTTGCGGTTCACAATTTGTGCATGCGAATTCTATTAAAGCAGGCAGAGGCGTTGAGAGCCACACGAGTTAGAAAGCAGAGTGGGTTGGCGGGTCTTGTCGGGTTGACCCGAACCTGAATCAGTCGGGTTTGGGTCTGGGTTTGTAACCCATTTCTTTATTCGGGTCAGGTTTGGGTTGATCAGGTGATGACGAGTCATTTTCGGGTTGGACCTAAACCCAACCCGAAAACTCATTTTGACACCCCTAATTATGGCTAGGCTATTTCATTTAGTTCTCCCTGAAGTTATGAAGGGGTGGTTATGGAAATCATTAAGAGTTTGAGGGGAATGATGTTGGACTGCCTGGTTGCTGCTGATGTAATGAACTGAGTTAGATGGCTAACGAAGATCTTGGATTTGGAACTCAAAGAAGATGGATGGAATGACGTGGATCACACAAGGAGTCACCCTTGATTTATTTGTGTCAATAAGGGCGGATCTTTGGAGGTAATCCTTAAATTAAGGGAAGGGGTATCACAATTTCTTACACTAAAAATTAATTTGAAAATTATATTATATATTAATGGTTTGACCACCAGTTTTTGCGGGTTGATCTCATTCATCTATAAATTCAAATTTTGATCAAATTGAACTAGTTGCACTAGTGGTGTAAGTGAGTTAAGTTGACTCAGAGCCGGCTCGAGCTCGACTCGATAAATGGCTTGTGAGTCAAGCTCTATGAGCTAAAGATCTAAGCTTGAGCTAGCCTCAACTCGACTAATTAGCTCACGAGTTGACTTGTTTAAAAAAATATTAATATAAAATACACTTAAAATATATTAGAATTTAGGAGTTTAACTATAAAGCTATTAAAATATATCATTTTTTATCAAGTAATTCTTTATTATTTACCTTCTAATTTTTTAAAATAATTTTATTGTAATAATTGCTTGAAATATAATCATTTAGGGTATCTCTTTCTTTATACATGAGCCGCCTCGATCTCGTAGAATTAAGTTTGAGCTCAAACTTAATTAATTAATGAAGTGCAAGCTCATGCTAGGGGTGGCTTGAGTTTGGGTTGATACATCTGTACCCCTAGGTTCAACCACCTGATTTAGTCCGATTTTTACAACCATGAATTAGCGCCTAAGGCTTGTTTATTTTGACTTAAACATTGAAGTGTTTGGAGTTAAGTTCTGAACATGAGCTTTATTGATGTGAGTTTTAGTGGTGTTTGTTTTGAATGAACTTACTTTTATTGAATTTAGGGGTCATTAGGGGTTACTTATTATTATTTTTTAATTTTATTTTGTTTATGCTTTAATATGAAATATAAGCATATTTGTTATCTTACATGTGATTTTTTGTATGTATTGAATATCACATAAGTCAATATGTTTATTGGTTTTGATGAGCGTGGTGGCACTGTGGCATGGGATTGGTTGGGTGCGGTGCTAGGTTGAATGATATCATGTGTAAGGCTAGCTGGTATGGTGCGTCTCGTCGGATGGTTGGAAGTTCTTGTTTTGAAAATAATTTGAACACCTAAAAGTTATTATGGGTGTTTTTAAAAATCATTTGATTTATTTTGAAAACAATTTGTGAATGTTACAAAGTGGAAAGTTCAAAATAAGTTTAGCAGAAGAGTAAGGCTTTGTTTGGGATGGCTTTCTGAAGCAGATTTTTAGTAAAAATTTAAATTTTGTAATAAAAAGTTGTTTAAGAAGCAATAAGAAAGCTGTCTGAAATGAAGATTAAATCTTATAGTGGCCAATAATAGATGGCAGCAATGAGAACAATGAGATCATGAGAATTAAAAAAATAATCTATCAGAAACATGCCAGGAAAACAATAGAAGGGAGTTTATTTGGTTTGGTGAGATCCAACTATGATCCTATAAAGATACAAATGTCCACTAGTTTAGAGGGAAAAATAAGATATAAATATTTTCTTATGAATATTTTTCTTACTTTTATCTCTCTAGTATGTTGACCTCGATTTTGGCTCGAATTTTCTCGAGCACTTTCGATCGATTTAATCGAACCCGACTCGAGCCGGATTAGACTCGATTAGTTTGATTTCGTCGCGTCGTACCTGATTTAATTTAAATTGATTATTATTTTGAACCCAATTTCATACGATTAATTTCGTTGCGCCGGCTCGAGCCCGAATTGGTTCGAATCGAGCCAAATTCAAACTCGAGTCTAACCCAATCTTAGCCGAATTTGACCTAGTTCAGCTCAGTTTAATTCCACCAAAATGTCATTTGACTTCCTATACGTTTTGAATTTATCTTATAAATCAGGAAATTGCGTTGACGATTACGATCGAGCAAGATCTGCGATTCGGCCGAAATCCCGCCTCTCAGGGATTTTCTGCGATTCGAGCAGACATTGAGCAGCGAGCAAAACCATTTTAGAGAATTTTCGAAGGCTGGAGCGCGACGACGAAACTGGCGGGCTTCTTCTTTCGTCAACAGATTTGATTTTACTCGGAACGAAGGCTCTGAGCTTGGCACTCACGCTCTCGCTCTCCCTGTCTTTCTCTCGATCTTCTCCTATTCGGAAAGCCCAGACGAACGAGCTCCCTCTCATTGATTCAATTTCTCCCCCTCACATACGACGCTCTCTCCCTCTCACTCTTCTCCTGCTCCCGTCGCCCGTAGCTGCTGCACGATCCCGTCGCCCCTAGCAGCCGGACGGACCCCTTCTCCGGTCGGTATTCAAGTAGGAGCTGAAACTCCCCTGCTAGTTCTTCCGTCCCTAACCCAAAGCCAGGTCCGACGACCCGATCGCGCGCCTCCATACCCATACTCGACGCCTCTCCCGCTCCGACTTCGTGCGCCTGGACTGACTCCGATCTCCCTCCTCCGAACTGAGCTTCATCCCTTTGTAAGGTTAGTTTCTTCATCTCCTTCCCCTTCTTCTTCTTCTTCTTCTTCTTCTTCTTCTTTGTCTTCTCCTCCTTGTTTCCCCTTGATTTGCTTCCTCCTCCTTACCTTCGTTGGCTTCTCATTTGAATTTAAGATATTGTGGTTGATTTAGTTGGTGAATGATCATTTTAATGCAAAACTTATGTAAGATTCATGGTGTATATGTCATTACACCCTTGTTTCTCTTGATTTCTGGTAAACACATTCACCCCATGTGATTGATTTTATGATGATTTGCATTGTTAATTTTAGTGGCATGTGTTGATTTATGTACTTCTCCCATGTGATAGTTGGCAATGAGAATTTATGTTTTTGATTCATGCCACTTGATTTAGAGTTTTAGGTGTAAACTAGAAAATGTATGAATGGTCATTTTTGATCTTCTATCAAGGTGTGCACATAAGGTGTTTGTGCTAATGCTTGACATGATGCTTTAGGCTCTTTTGAGTAGGGAAAAGATGACAAACGAAAAAAATCTTGACCCATTTCATTATGAGATGAGTTTATGTATGGTTGGAGAGTTTGTTTTCTTCTATTATTTCTTTTATTTAGGCATCATTCATACAAAATCTTAATGTTTGGGTGATTATTCCCTTCTCGATTTTATTATGACATTGTTGGCTCTCACTCTATGAATATGGAACAAATGGAATGAGATGTGCATAATACTTATGTACTTATGCTTCTATGTGTTCTAATAGAAATGTAGGCTCTACAAAATTATCGTAGAAGTTTACTTGTGATGATAGTTTCTCAATTGTTATAAATGTGTTTTGTGACTTTGATTAAGTTTGAAAGAGTTGAATGTGAGAATAGGTTCCAATTTCATACATACATTTGATATTATGAGTCTGTCGATTTGTTTTAAACTTACTAAATATGTCCACATCATGAACTTCTTTCTTTCAAGATTAGAGAATTTCATGCATATTGATATCTCATTTCATCTATGATTAACACATATATTTGGGCAAGTGTATGAGTAGAACCGATTTTAAATGAGCATCCTTCTTAGAATGATTTTCTTTTATAAAGATCGTCATCAAAGTAGTAATGTGTCTCGCAAGTTTTGGTCAAAAAGCGTGTGGCAAGCAAGTATAGTTTTATTCCTTTTTCCATTTTCGCATAAGTTTTGAGTAAAGAGAAGTATTCCTAAGCTAAAAGAATGAGGAGCTTGCTTACCTATGTGCATCACTAATGGTAGCTTGTGGTAATCACGTCATAAATGCTTTACTTCATGTACGACCATAACAGTCCAAGTTGTATATTCTTGAAATAAAATGTCACGGATCAATTTGATGTGCTGGAACCTTTATGCTTATATTCACGATTTGTTTTTCAATAAATTATCTCAAGTATCCCTAGAAAAAGTGATGTTTTTCTAGTGATTTGTATATAGAAGCAAGGGTGGCCTAGCATATTCAATGCCCTTTAATGTCCACTTCTTTGAAGTCAAGTGTACCCTAAAGCAACATTCAATGCCCTTTAATGTCCCCACAATCCAAATAAGGCACTTGAATAAGAGTCAACTTAAACAATCTGACTACCCTCTAAAC